CCCCAAAACCCCAAAACCCCAAAACCCCATCAAGAATGTATCAATAGAGATTGATGAAATTAAGATTAAAATCAATAATAATTTTTTGACTCTTGGAGATGAGATACTATTAAAGTCATATCATCAAGGGGTGAACCGTCACTCATACAGATATCTTTAACTTTAGAACATATATATTCAGAGCTCATTCCAGGGTCTCTCAACCCGTATTCATTAACTATTTCTAGCACATCTTCATAGCCCATATTATCCCATATGCCATCTGATCCAATTGCTATGAACTTATCATTAGGAGTTATGTCAACTATCTTTATATTAGGCTCACTTGTGACACCAATTTGATGTGCTAAAACATCGCCAAGCGACCTAGATGTGGAGAGACCAGGATACATCCGTGCTCTTACATAGATTCTAACCTTTTTCTCAAGAACAGAGGATCTAACCTCACCTCTATGATTATATATTCTAATTTTTTCTACTTCGTCTGTAGGAGTGTGCTCAGGGTAAGTTAATTTGATCGGATTTAATTTTTTATCAATATTTCCAAGAGCAACTTGGCTATCTCCAACCCAAGCAACATATAATTTACTTCTATTCTATATTACAACTGTTGCTGATGTCCCCGACAACGCTATATCAAAACTCTTAGGGGGATTTGTCTGAGCAATTTTTTCTCTCAGTGATTTTTCTTATATCTCTTTTAATGGATTATCTCTCCCATTGAGTATTTTGGGATTTATTCTAAAAATCTTTCTGGGCTTTTATAGCTAAGATATTTTTTGACTTTCTTAATTCCCAGCAAAATCCTATAAATTGCTATCATTTTCGAAAACTGATGAGGGCTTTTCCTTATTGCTAGGATGAAGAGTGAGCTTCAATTAGTTTTACAATTTAAATTCTTCATCCATAATGTTTTGATTGTATATTTTCGCTTCATCTTATTCTAGCTTAAAATTATTCTCATCCGATAAAATGCCGCTGGTGTCTAATTTGTCTTTTTAGTAGGAGAAATATTCCTAATCTTCATTTTCTTCGAAATCACTAGTAGTTTCCCAGCTTGATTCGGAGCATAAATCCTCTGAATTTTCATCACTGTCTAAAAACAAATCATCTCCATCATCTTAGTGGACATACTAAGGTGAAGATGTCATCTAAGGTCTATAAGCCTCAGTTCTGCCCTTTTTAAAGATTAACTCACTCTTAGATTCATCCATGTCTTCCTCATACTATGTAGCCTTTCGTTTTCTTTCTAATTTCTCTCTCCTCTTTTCCTACCTCTCTTCATTCTTAATCTATTAATACTTTGCCTTGAGCTTTTCTTGAGTATATTTGAAACATCTTCTAAGAGCCACAGTCACATTTTTGTCTGTTTCTTTCTCAAGATTCTTTATATTGAAAGTCTTATTTTTATTCCTAATATAATCAAGCATAATTCCAGCAACGAAACCTGAAATAGTATGACCGTATATACCATGACCGTCAAATACCCCAAATATTCTTAGTGGCCCATCAACCAATGCAAAGAAATTATCTTAATTTTAAGAATGAGACTTTCCCTTTTTACAGCAAAATTCAATATGCTTATCATAGAAATATTTTCTGTTTTCTTTAGAAAAGTGGTCTAAGAGTATTTGCCTCTCTAAGATGACTTCGTTGTTGAAAAATAGAATTTTATCCTAAAAATTTATTTATTTTTTATTTTTACATCGAATTCTTTTTGAGTGTTTCCTAGATCGTTTATCCATGAAGCTACTAGAATATTTTATTCTCTTAACTCTTCGTCCTTCATAGTTTTAGTCTCATTTTATTGTGTTCCCATTGATGTTATATTCCCATTCGCATCAAATGCTAAACCCTTGATCATAACTGAACTCCTATGAATATCACTCTTGTTAAAATTGCTCATTTCATGGAATCTCTTTTCTTATTCCTATTACTCTTATTTGACCTTTTGAGCTAAAGCTTTCCTATGAGAATTATAAAATCTGTAGTTGCAAAATATGGAGAAGTAATGGTCGTCTAATTTCTTATCAACCAGGTTATTTGTCTATTTTGTGTAGAGCCTTAGCAAATCTTCAAGCTCCTCTCTAAGTATTTGCAAAGGCTTTTATTAAGCCGTGTCATTTACAATGTTCTTATCTCTAAATGTTGATATTAACAGAATTATCCTACTATTCGTTTAAGTTTTTATTTGAAGCAAAGCATACACCCATTTTGAATTTTAAATAATTATATTCATCTATCATATCTATTAATTTGGAATTAATGCTAACTCTAGGGGTTTTGGGGTTTTGGGG